GCGGGATACGAGCAGCCGAACCCGGATAATTTTATGAACCTTAGAACAGCAATAGATCATTTCAGTCTTTTACACATTATATAATTCACACTGTTCTTGTTTAAAAAAATTCATTGTGCTTGAGCTACCAGGTGCCTAAAACTTTGACTGATTTATTCCTAAAGTGAAACTTTTATTGTTTATTTACATCCTTTTGCTTCTACTATGACACTACAAGAAATTTGGCAAGTATCAAAATTATATACTGACATCATTTTGCATTTCCTTTTCTGAAAAATATATGAACCTGCATTGTTCTTTGAAAAAGGGGATCAAATCCATTTCTGGATATCTGCCTTTTCTTTTATTGCACATAGTTCCTCATTTCTTTTACGTAGCCATTTATTTTTTGGGAAATAAATCTTTTCTTAACCTAATGTTATGACATGAACTCATTTTCTTTCTTATTCATCTTTCAGATCCACAAGATTCGTCGATTTCGGAAACAAGTAAATGGAGCTGATGAGGTTAAACAATTGTCCATTCCCTTTCATCTTAGCATTGAACCATTTCCAAGGATGGTTTTTTCCTTTACACTGAATTAGGAGTCTTTAGTTAATTACAAACTAGTTATTCACATAGAGTATGAAATTATTTATCATCGATATGGGGTAGTTTTATTTCTTCATGTTTTGGTATTGCCATATCAGCAATATTATCTGCTTTAAGTAAATTTGAAAAGGAGATATATGTACAATTTAATAAACTAGTGGATTTATCTTTAAATGTTGTTAGGGAACTTGCTTGAAGATTTTTTTCTTCTTCTAATGCACAACTTTTATGGTTCCTTTCATTTTTAAAGAGTTAAAATCGTTATCCCATTTTTGTCTCATTCTTGTGATTCAGTTTGTGATCCCCGTAGTCCTTACATTGATGTTTACTATGGGGTTCCTTTTTCTTCTACCATATGGCATTCTGAAGGCACATGCATATCCAGTTTAATCTTGTCATGAAAAATATCTCAATTTGCTTGAATAATTCGTTAAACCGTAGACATTAATTGTTGCATGAAAAATACAGATTGATTATTTGTCATAAGAATTATATTTAGATAAGAGTACATTAAATAAATTTCATGTGTTTACTATAAATCCTTTATGTATAAAACTTACTTTTTAAAATTATGTAGAAATATCTAAATTTGCTTGAATAATTTTTTTTAAACTGTAAGTTTAATGTATAAATTGAGTATATTATACATACAGATATACAAGGATATATGTATACATACTTAAGAACATACATGTACATATACATGCACACATGTTTATCAGTATATGTGCATGCGCTGGCTGAGAGCCTCACAGCCTAGGCACAATGACGCAATTATCAGAGGCTCGCTCTACCACTGAGTTAATAGTCCCTCATACAGGCTTCCCAGTGAGAGGCTTGCTATGCCACAAGCGAGAGAAACCCCATCCCTCTCTTTCCTTTTTGCGCTCCATGTTCCTCCTGTGTGGCGACATGTGGATGTAATAAGTTGGATCCTATCAACTTGTTCCGGCCTAGGATAATAAGCTCATGAGCTTTGTCATACGTCGTTGTTGAGAAATGAAATAACACATGTTTATTCATGCATGTATATATGTATGTATGTACGTATCCCATGTTTTTCTAGATTTTGTGTCTCATGTTTATGTCACATAGCTCCATTTTGGTATATTTTCAACCATTATATGAATGTGTTACTGTTTACCACAACTTTGCACTCATTAAATTTTTTTCCCTCTCTGCATTCAACTCAACCGAATCTACTTTTGGTTCTTCAAACTTTATCTTCTATTATTCATTCTTAAATTGCTCATATACAATCATACTATTAATAAATCTTCAACATATCTATACCAAATGGAAATTTCACATTATTAACCCAATTCTCGTTAATCTACAGTTTTGGGTAACCTATTTCCTGACATGGAATCAGAGCATTAGATCTCAAAAGTCCAGTTCAAAGCTCATTATTGGTTATTCAGAATCTACTTTTGGTTCTTCAAACTTATCTTCTATTATTCATTCTTAAATTGCTCATATACAATCATACTATTAATAAATCTTAAACATATCTATACCAAATGGAAATTTCACATTATTAACCCAATTCTCGTTAATCTACAGTTTTGGGTAACCTATTTCCTGACATGGAATCAGAGCATTAGATCTCAAAAGTCCAGTTCAAAGCTCATTATTGGTTATTCAACAGCATTTTTGTTCATCCTACCTACTCTACCTTTTCACACTAGTCATGCTTATGGTTGAGGGCATTCCACAAATCTTAAAGTCCAATGTGAGGAGAGTGTTTTTCTTGATATACATTCTTAACGCAACATGCATTAGCTTAAACTTTTTTAATCAATTTATTAATATATGACATGTAAGGAATTTAAAATAGTTTAAAATTGGAACTCATGGATGTATCAACAGTTATCTAACCTTTTGATGTTTGTCTCTCTACAATATTATAGGTTGCATGTATGCTGCTTCTGTCATAAAAACATGATAGGCTAGTTCAAGAGCAGATTTGCTCCTTAACATTCATGATTATACAACCTAGAATTCAACATTAGGGTGCTGGTAATCTAGATGCTATTATACATGATATCTTGGTCTTAAAATAAAGTTGTTATGCCAGGCTTCTTTGATTAGGCAATGTAAATATGATTAATATTTGCATTATTATGTATTAAAAAGGTGATTATCTGGCAGGTAAATTTGTCCTTGAACATTTCTATGGACATGGAATCCTTGTTCACATGGAACACGAAGCAGGTATTGCATAATAGTCACTTATGCTTTTTCAATTTTATTCTCATGCATGATGAGTAGATTCTAATGCATTTTGAATGCAGCTATTGATGTTGATATCTTGTTACAAAGTTTTGTCGGTTATTTCTATTTTGGGTGCTTAGGATATAAGCAGTGACATTAATGCTTTGTTGCTACATTTTGCAGCTAATTTTCATATTTACTCTTACTTTGTATAGAATAATTAAAAATTACACTTGTAAAATACAAAAAAAAATTCTAGAGTTCTACCTTAAGCTATGTTCTTGTTTAGACCTGTTGATCCCAGCTGAATTTTAGGTTGTTCATGTTCATTCAAAGAAGCTTAAAAATTTTTTCCATTAAAGCTTTTAGCTACTATAGGTTATTAGACGAGCATGAGCTCGAGCTGATCCTCAAAATTTTCAGATCTATTGATCTTAGGCATGAGTTCAACTTACAATTGAGATTGGTGTGATGCCAAAGGAGTGATTCTGAAAGAAATATATTCTTTTTTGGTTGTTACTTCTCCCAGTTGTTTTCTATTCCCTGTCCCCATTGGACTTCGTGGACAATCCACGAAGAGTCGATCACAGGTCTTTAATATTTCACAATATCGATCACACTAATCATTGATTGGAAATTGTCTACTTTTTAGTAGCTTCTCTCTTGCAAGGATGTCAACATTGAGTAAAAACTAAGAAAACACTTCAAATATTGAGCAGAACTTGAGCCCTTCATGATTTCTTGAGGCATGTAGAGATAGCTCTAGTCTCTACTATGGTTCAGCCACTTTTTATTCCAACAGCCATCTCTGCTATCCTCATCCCTGCCAATTAATGTACATGGAGTTCATTGATTGCTTCTCAACATTACCATGCGAGTCAAGTACACTCCTATGTGAACTCTCCTATCAGATGTTAATGTCATCCCTTTTTCCTTTTTCCTTTCTCTCTTTTATTATTCTTACTGTCTTTCATTATTTTTCACTCAATGATCGTATATATTATGTTGAGGCAGTTTTATGATTTCATCCTTTGATTTTTGAATAGCCTTTGGATATTGAGTGGTCAGGTATGATGCATGAGTTTAAGATTGCACACCAAAACAATCAACCTCCATTTTGTTTCCAGTTGTAGAATGCTTCAAAAGCGACTTTTCCATTATTGAGGGGTGTTAGATGATATGCATTGGTTTCCAACTGACCAACCTACTGTTACTATCTTGCATACATTTTGCTTCTTCTGCTAAATAACAAAACAATTCTTGAGAACTCAAGGTCATGATCTTGTGTCCTTATAGTTAGGTTATTATGATGTCAACTCTTAAGAATTCCAGAGAAGTCAAGGTTACAAATGAATGGTTTACCCAAGTGACTTCATTGATATTACTTGTTTTCGGTATTCAAAACTCATGGATGATAGTTGGAAGCAAAATTTCTTATTTCCAATAACTAACCTTATCTAATTTTCAAGCCTCTTTAAATATCAATTCCTGAGCAATTTATTCTTTTCCTTGCATATTTATTCTCCTCTGCCTTATATTTGATAAAATATTTATTAGTAGGCTGGCATATTTAGATTCTTATCATACGTGTATTGTTATCCACTTGTAGGTTTTTGTCTTTGTGACTGCAGAATACCAAACTCCAAAGAATTCACTTAACCAGGTAATTTCTTTACTGAAGTTTCTAAGGAGTTGCTTTTCTTTTCTTTTTGTATTCTTTTTTGGGTAAACAGAAACGGCTATCTATATGATTTATATTCCCACCTGACATTATTAGCGGCTCTTATTATGTAATTTCTTGCTTAGGTAGTCTTATGATGTGATCAGATATTTTCAATCTGCCTTTTATAAGGATTGATTGACAATCATGTCTTCAGAGAGTATCAGGAGGCACTTAAAGGAAATAGGATTTAATCACCAAAAAAGGAAATAGGATTAGGGCTTAGATGATTTATTTACTTATTTTCTGTGATTTAGTAGTGTGGGACTTTGTTTAGTCAGGCTCGACATTTTCTTCTGGTTCAGTTGAGTCAAATATTCTTTAGTTGTTTATTTGCTGATTTAATTGTGCTAGGGTACTTTAGTCTCTGTATCAGAGCAAAGTTATATTTAACCCTAGTTAGATTTTGCTTTTAATACTGAAAGCAAAGTCTTTCATTCACATTCAATGATAACGAAACAAAATTGAAAAATCACTACTAAGTTCTTGATTTGTATTATTGGAGTGTCTAAAAACCAACATTCATGTCTTTTTCTTAATTGTTCATCACATGATTTTAACCTCTTGGAATCTAAATGCATAATCCTTTTCCTACCGCACAATTCTTTCACCTCCTTCACCAAAGCCACCGTATGACTACAGCATAAACTTGGATATGTTGCTAAGAAACTAATTAATCATACCCATATCTGTTATTATGGATTGTGATAGTATTCTTATCTAATCGTTAATTTACCCGGCCTTCAGATTTCACTATGGGATCATATTATCCCTGATAAGGAACATGCGAAATTCCAAAGAGTAGTTCCAAATAAGTATCCTCTCATTGATCAGGTAAATTGTCCTACTAGCTCTTTATCCTCCTCAATTTGATGCGCAATCTTAATATGTTGGAATTAATAATGTGTATTGATTTTTCAGGGAAGCAATCTTCGCGGTAAGAATATTGAACTTGTTCTTCACTGGCATATAATGCCTAAGTCAGGGAAAATGATTCAAGATAAGATGTCATTGTCCACTTTCAATCTGCCAGAGGCATACTCGTAGTTAGCTGCAAACATGTACATTTCTTGTTACCCTTGATAGTTCATGGGCAGTGATAAATGATATCTAAGGATGAGGTTTTATCTATATAAACTTCTTATGTTTCATTTGTTTTTGTTTTGGATATCTGTTTTATTGCATTTTGCGAGCATGAAAAGTATTCAAAGAATGTTTGTCCACTGTCTCAAGTTGGTGGTCCATCTCTTTTCAACTAAGTTAGCTACTCACAAGACCAAATTAAAAAATGTTTTCTGTTGACTATATCTTATAATTAAGGAATAATTTCACACAGTGAGCTTCATGCTTCATTAAATGTTTGTAACCTACAGGGCTGCCTAAGATATAGATATGTATCTTAGGCCATGTACTGTATCAAGAGAGAAATAAGAAATGACGAAGGGAGGTGAGTTAGGGTTTGAGAGGTAGACTGTTATTTTTGTTGTTTTTAGTGGAATCATGGCATAGTTGTACTCCAAGGTCGTAGCTAAACACATTGATTGCCAAACCTTGTTAAATCCCTGTGTTTTTGTAATTGTTTTTTCTGTTCTTCGTTCGTTCTTTCTTTTGTGAAGTTGTCGTTTGATTTGCATTATGTTGCTAACAAAAGAGTATATAAGTTACTTCTTTCTAGTCTCTTAAATCTCTACTTTACTATGCTGCAAGACAGGTATTTGTACAAAAGTTGCGAATCTATAGGATACCCACTCTGTTGCCTTTTCTTTAAAATAACAAGGCAGATCTTTCACTGTACCCCAGTTTAGAGCAGAAACTTTTTTGCACAATGTTTGGTGGTGACATGATATTTTTTGTCACTAGTCACATATTTTTCCAAAATTCCTCGAATATCATTTTAGTCCATTAAGTAGGTTTCTTGCTGGTTTTATAATATTTTTTAAACGCTAATAGAGTTTGTCTCGATTATATCTGTGTTTGACGTCTGATTTGCAGTACCACTGTTTGGTTGCCAAAATAGTAATCAATGGATATCAAACTTCCCCAGATCGAAGGACGCTTTTATACTAATTCAAGACACTGTTACTTATTACCTTGTTGTTCTGCAATTGTTGAGTCATTAAGAAAACATATTCTCTTTCACTGAAAACAAAGGAAACTACTCAGTCAATTAAGACCTTATTGACCTTCGTAACAATTTTTACCGTCCTTGGTCGGCATCAGCTGCTTCACAGAAATCCCTTCTCTTGAAAACTCTTAATGCAGTCATCAAACATCTGAGGAATAGTTTTGAAAGAGCGAAGCCCTAGCTCCTTGAGCTTTGTGGTGTCCATGCTATGTGGGTTGCTATCTCCTTGCATCTCACTACACCTGGTTTTATTTGAAATTTGGGTTTCAGACACATTTTTATAGTCCCAAGAACTATACTAGGTTAGCATTTAGGACATTTGTATGAGAATGAATGTAGAAGCTTCATTAAGTTTTGATTTTAAATATTCTTAGTTTTCTATGTTAGAGTTGGGGGTGGTTCATGGGTGAGTATTAGTTCCATATTAGAAGGAATCAGAGAAAGCTTTGGATTTAAGTGTAAAATTAGGATCAACATTTAATAGTTTAGGTCAATATGCAATTGGATGATAGTACAGTGGGTCTATTCGCATTTGTAATCTATACATCAGTTAAACTGGGACTAGTTGTAAAAGATCTTCTCGTTCATGAAATAAAGTAGTAGATAAAAGGATTGGAGGATTGGATGCTTACTTATCTGGCAACGGCAAATATGGATATTTTGACTTGAGCATCGCGACAATCTCTGACCAATGAGCAACAGTGCTCGAACATATGAGCCTCCCTGAGCCCCTGCTGTTTTCCATGGCTATCATGTGTGCACAAACCACATCATCGATGTGAGCGAACCCTATAGTTATGTTGGGATATGCAGGGAAATGTCCTGCACCATCCAAATGCAATCAGAGCCTTCATTTTTCATTTTGAACAGATGGTGGATAATTTGGGTAAATTAAAAAACAACACAAAACAAAAATGAAACAAATTTTAGGCGCAAAACCCCTGAACTTTATAAATTAGAGAAATCCCCTGCACTTGTTTCGATAGAATACAATGACTGATGGTAGTAAGCCTAAGCTGCCTTCCGTTTTGTACGTGATACGCTTTCGACATTTTTGCTCTTATGCACTCTTTACTTCTGCTGAGAGAGTTTTTCGGGTTAGAACTGATAAATACCTATAAGGGTTTTAGATCTTTCACCCTTCGCATCAACGCCATTTATGACAGTTTCCAGTAGTTTGCAGGTTCTTGCACAATTTGTAAATTCGGAGGGATTTCTCTAATTTATGAAGTTCAGGGGGTTTGGTGAAATTTACCCAAAAATTCTTGTGAACCTTTCACAACGGAGAGGACCATGTGCAGAGTGCTTGTAGGTTGTGGTGTGATCAGAGGTCCAACAACAAATGAAGGATTTACAACGACAAGATCGATGTTCTGAACCTTTGCCTGATTCCATGCCTCTTTCTCTGCCAGCGTCTTGGCATAAGCATACCACAGCTGCCATTAAAAAAATGAATCATGAGCACTGCAGAGAATGAAGAAATACTGAAGGTAAAGGAGCGTACATCGTATTTCTTGCAGTACTCTACATCGCTCCAGTGAGACTCATTGAGAGGGGAGATTGCAGCAGCGTCCTTGTGGTATCTTACAGCAGAGCAGGAAGATGTGAGAACCACTCTTTTTACCGATCTTGCTTTGGCACAGGAATTGAGCAGGTTCACTGTGCCTTTGATTGCTGGCTTGATCATCGTCTCCTACATCAAATGTGTGTTCATTCGATATAGATTAGTATGTTGAGGAATAATAGGTGTTTGTCCAAACTTTTATTTCGACTCCATCGGTTCTTTATATAAATTTTCAAGCGATCCCCCCGAGTTCAAACTCAGAAAGGCCCCTATGGTTTGCGCCGTAAATCTATTAAGCCCCAAGACTATTATTTGGATCTATTAAGCCTCTATGTTTTTTATTTTGAATCTATTTAGCCCCTATGGTGTTTCTCCATAACTAAAAAGTAGATTCAATAAGACAAAAATACCCTTTTTTAGTTATGAAGAAACACCATAGGGGCTAAATAGATTCAAAATAAAAAGCATAGGGGCTTAATAGATCCAAATAATAGTCTAAGGGCTTAATAGATTTACAGCGCAAACCACAGGGGCCTTTCTGAGTTTTAACTCGATCCCCCCTTCATTTGTTAGTAGACGCGAATCATCCGGCAGGCAGTCTTAGGCAAATATCTATTGGGTTGTGTGTATTTGATTCTTAGTATATAATTGTCATGTAGTTTGATAAGATCAGAGTTGTATCGTGATTAGGAGGTTGAGTTCTAGCATGATGATTAGGAGCGTGTTTCCCAGTCGGGAAGTTAGTTTGCTTGGTTTCTCTATGTAAGTCTTCTATTGTAAACCGAGGGTAAGGCGGAGTTGGATACGTGGATGGAGCCCTCTGAAACGGGTTAAGATTGAAGTTTTAGGTTTTCTTGACTAACAAAGAAAGAAATCTGGTTCTTCCCACAATATCTGTGTGTAAAACCCAAACAAGTAGCCGTGCTGTGTATCCTTAAAATGCGATCGTACTTCTCACCTGAATGTTATCCTGAGGAACAAAGACAGGGCATGCAGTATGAAAAACACCGTCGACGCCATCCACAGCCTCGTTGAAGCTCCCATCCTCCATCAAATCAGCCTTCACCAACTTCAGCCTCTCCTTTGCGCCATCGAAGCTCCATAGGTAACCAACCCTCTTCTCGTCATCTAATTCAATGTCGCGTTAGCGAGAATCGGATATTTTGACGAGACAGTAAGAAATTTCGATCCTTTTTACCTGGATCTCTAACGGTTGCGCGAACAATGTGGCCTCTAGATAGAAGTTCTCTGATCAGGTAGGAGGCTATGAATCCAGTCCCTCCGGTTACGCAGTATTCTGGCATTTTGTCTGAGCTTACTGTGTATCAACTTGTTTGGGTGATTGTCTCCATGGGGTAGCTTGTCCTTTAATATAAAGGATAAATAGATTGTGTTTGGTTTGACTTTGGAGTGAGGTTGCACTTGAATTGTTTCGGTGGAGGATGATCACAAATTTTTCATGATGGGGTTGGGAAAAGGAGGGAAATGTCAAAACGTTGTGAGTTCTGTTTGGGAGTTGGTTTGCTACGAAGAGGCACGGAAAAGGTATGACATCAGAAAGAGGGGAATATCACATAAGGGAGGGTAATTCTCGTAAACTACCATGGGCTTTTGGGGGTTTTGTGCAATTATAAAGTTTTTATTAGAGAAAACTATCAGGAATTTACACAATTGCGTAAAAGAACGTGAACTATTGGATATTGTTGCTATCAACGTTCGCATCTTGTATAAAATATCTATGTTTCTTAGTATCTATCAATCATATCTGGAAAACACCGTCTCGGTTAAAGTAGTAAGTTCACATGGAATTTTTTTTTTATCTAAAACATGAAAACTTATGCTAACTGTTGCTTGACACTCAAATTCAATGGACAAAAAGTCCATGGTGGTTTTCTTTGATAAAAAAATGTTTATATTTGTACCGTGAACTTTTGGGATTTTGTATAAACTAAAAAAAAGTTCTTATCTAAGAAAACTATCATGAACTTCCAAAATTCTGAAAAATATCAAGAGCAATTGGAAATTGTTGCTAATAGCATTAACGTCTTAGATAAAAGTTCTATCCTTACCGATATCAGTCAAGCATGACCAAAAAAACAGTCTTTTGATAAAAGTAATTAGTACACAATCGCAAAATAATAATTTATCCTAAATATCATCAGACGTTAATTCATTGAAAAAGGTTCGTGATAGTTTTCTTTAACAAAGGAAGGTTACATTAGTTGTGTGCAAAATCCCCCAGCGTTCATGATAGATGCTGCATGCAATGACTCAACGAGGGATGTTGGAAGGTGGTGGGCACTCTCACAAACTCATACACAAACAGAATAAAATTAGAAGAGGAAGTCACCAAGAGGAATTTACTTTGATTTGAATGACTTGAACAAATGACGCAGACGTAGAAACAGGGAGACCGATCGGATATCGTTCCGATGCTGACGTACCCTGACAATAACATGTAGATAACAAGCTTGAATCCACAAACCCTAATTTTCCCAAGTTTAGGGAAGAAAACAATGGAGAAATTTCTCTTGATTCAATAATTGAAAAGTTGATTCTCGATTTACAAAAGGAACTAATATTTATAGCCAACTAACTCTATCCTAACCCTAATAAAAAGAACAATTTTTCACTTCAGGCCCATTTTATTTTATTTTTATTGAAATCGACCATTTTTTTTATTTACCAAAACCAACCCGATTTCTTGATTAGCAGCTTAATCACCTTCCTAAACAGTCGGAGTTGTCAACCTCGACTATTTAGGAGGGTGTTAAACCCTACTTAGAAGCCTTAAACCCTAAAAATTAATATCCTAAATAGTCGGGGTTGGCAACCCCGACTGTTTAGGAAGGTGATTAAGAAGGTAATCAAGAAATCGGGTCGGTTTTGGTAAATAAAAAAAGAGGTTGATTTCAATAAAAAAAATTGAAATGGGGCTGAAGTGAAAAATTGTTCTAATAAAAAAGTCCGAATTTAAAAAGAAATAACCAAAAATATGAAACTTTCCTAATCTGTCTCCAAGTCAACACGAGGCGTGTCGAGTAGTAACGCTTTTCGTGTCGACTGACATGTGTTGACTAACACCGCCCTTCGTGTCGTCTGGGGTGTGTCGTCTCGACTGTCGACAGGGGTGTGTCATCTCATCTTGTCGCCTCGACTATGTCGAGTCGTCGTCCGCTGATGTCGTCTCAGTTGCTTTTCTTCTCGTCTCGTCCAACACTTGATCTCCTGTATCAGTCCCTCCTTCTTTGAAAGAACTCGTCTTTGAGTTCGCATCACTCGAATACAACTTGATTGAATGATGATAATTAGACATATCCGCCACGTTAAATGTCGCCGACATAGTCATTCCTTCTGGAAGATCCACTACATATGCATTATCATTGATCTTCTTGAGAATCTTGAACGTGTCATATCGTTTCGCCTTAAGCTTGCTATAAGTTCCAGCCGGCATCCGTTCTTTCCGCAAGTAAACCATCACCATGTCTCCTTCATTAAACACATTGAGTCGCCTCTTCTTGTCTGCTCGCGTCTTGAACTTTGCATTAGCCTTCTCGAGCTTTGTATGCACTTCCTCCTGAACGTTGAAAGCATTCTCGACCATTGAACTTGCTGCCTCGCTGAACTTGCTACTTGTCAGCAACTTCAACAAATCTTGAAGATGTCGAGGTGTCTTCCTATAAACAGTGGAAAAAGGAGACATACCTGTGAAACTATGAACAATCATGTTGTAGGCGAATTCAGCTTGAGGTATAGCTTGATCCCACAACTTTGGTTTCTCTCCACATATACATCGAATCAAGTTTCCCAAAGTCCGATTGACCACTTTTGTTTGTCCATCCGTTTGAGGGTGTGCAGTGCTAGAATACTTCAATGAAGTGTCAAATCATCGCTATAAAGTAGTCCAAAAAGTCGCCAAGAACCTGGTATCCCTATCCGAGACAATCGAACTAGGAACACCATGTAGTCGAACCACTTCTTAAAAGAACAGTCGTGCAACATATGGTGCATCCGAAGTCTTGCGGCATGGAATGAAGTGAGCCATCTTAGAAAATCGATCCACTACCACATAGACTGAATCCATGTCTCTTTGTGTTCGGGGAAGTCCAAACACAAAGTCCATACTCAAATCTTCCTATATATCCTTAGGCACAGGTAGAGGAGTACACAAACCAGTATTCTGCACTTGCCCATTTGCAACTTGGCACACTTGACAACTCCTCACAAGTGTCGCCACATCCTTTCTCAAACTCGGCCAATAGTATCTCTCCTCAAGACTCAAAATAGTCTTGTCTCGCCCAAATTGTCCACCAAGCCCTCCACCATGTAAGTCTCGAACTATCTTTTCCCTCAATGATGTCCTTGAAATACAAAGCTGATTTTCTTTAAACAGAAATCCGTCCATAATAATAAAGTCTCCTGTGGGTTGTCTTGTCAAACACTTTGCCCAAACCTCCTAAAAGTCTTCATCATCAACATAAAACTCTTTCAAACTGTTAAAAGCAACAACTTCACCTTGCAATATGCTTAATAAAGATACCCACCAACTCAAAGCATCGAGCACCTTATTGTCGACTCCTGACTTATGTCGCAAAGTGAAATTGAACTGTTCAAAGTATGAAGCCCAACGTTCATGCATTTTGTTGATATACTTCTGATTCTTGAAGTGTTGAAGAGACTGATGATTGGAGTAAATCACGAAGTCGTTAGCAATGAGGTAACTCTCCCAAGTCTTCAAAGAACGAAAAACAGGGTACAATTCCTACTCGTAAGTACTCTACTTCTGTCGAGCTCCATTTAACTTCTCACTCAAGAATGCAATAGGACGCTTCTCTTGAGAGAGAACTGCTCCAATACCGACACCACACGCGTCACATTCAAGCTCAAAGAGCTTGTCGAAATCCGGAAACGCTAAGATAGGTGCAGTGCTAATTTTCTCCTTGATAAAGGTAAAAGTCCAGATTTTGGAATCCAAACTTGGCGGGGTTTCGGTGGTTCTTTGGTCACCGTTTCCTTCCTCCTTTCTCGTCTTTGTTGTAAGAGAGCACGTGCATGAACAGCGTTTGCACGACGTTTTTGTATACGTTCTTTGAGGTTTGAACGAGCCCTTTTGACTGTAGTCCATTCCTCCATCACTAACTTAGCAGAGATATGAGTGATTGGTCGTTGAGACAACTGAACCACTCGATGCCTCCTCGACTCTAGGTCCGCGTGATAACGAACCCCGTCGATTTGTTCCAATGCCTTAGCCAATTGACGAGCGTGGCGTTGACGCTGTCTCTGACGAGCTCTTTTCGTCAATGTCGGCGGGCTTTGATTCGATGACTCTTCAATTAGATAAGAGCCATTGTGAGCAGAGGTGTTGCGAATGAAATTCTCAGCAACAATCAAGCGAGAGTCTTCATTTTGTGCCTTCTTTGGCATGTAACTCTTCCTCAATTGTGAGATCCTCTTGTACTTGCGAGATACTGAAGATCTTGAAGAGGATGATGAGAAATATTCCTCAAACTTGGTTTGGTCGAATTCGTATTCGACCATGGATTCAACTGGAATCTTGATCGGCTGCGACGGCCTCTGTGAAAATGGCCTTCGGGGTATTTATAACCTCGTGGATGAAGCAGTGGCTGCACGAACAGCGCTTGGCTTCTCGGGCGTGGCGAGACAGTGTTTGCTTGTCTCGGCTGGCGAGACAGTTTTGCTGTCTCGCCCGACGAGACAACGTAAATTTGGCTGTCCTCGACCCAGCGAGACAGTAAATTTTGCTGTCTCGCCGCAGCGAGAGCAGTAAATTGGTCTCGAAAATGTAAGTTTCTACAATGTAACCGCTCTCCCACGTTTTAAATTCGCGTTATTCTGGCAGTTATCAACGTGATTCTCGCCCACGACGTTTCCCCAGTTTTTGAACAGTTATTGGCCACGTGTCGACGTTGCAAACAGTTCTTGAACCACTGATAACTGTCTCGTGTGCGAGAAGTAAATTCTGTCTCAGTACGGCGAGACAGTAAATACTGTCTCGCAGGGCGAGACAGTGAAAACTGTCTCGCGCGGGGCGAGACATTAAAAGTCTGTCTCGCCGCCGAGACAGTAAAGACTGTCTCGCCAGGTGAGACAGTAAAGACTGTCTCGCCTGTGAGACAGTCTATACTTGTGTTTCTTTTGCCTTTTTGAGTGATTTCACTCTTGAGCTGTATTGATATCTTTCAGCATTTTTTGACGCCTACAGATACCCCCTCAAAGTATTCCAGACTCATTCTTTATAGAGGAGTTCTGGGATACTTTGGAATAAATAAGTCTTGGCTTACGATCCTTCAATGCTTGGTTGAGTAGATTATATAGAGGAACCCGTAGATGGCTTCAA